ATAGATAGATAGATAGATAGATAGATAGATAGATAGATAGATAGATAGATAGATAGATAGATAGATAGATAGGTAGACATAGATAGAGACAGAGAGAGAGAGAGAATGACATTTTAAAATTATGAGACTAAAAATAAATTATTATATGGTAATCATTACGGGTCAAATGAAGAAATTATAATCAGATCGGCAATTGAAAAGATCCTTATCCCTTTCTTTGAGAGAAAACAACGTTAATCCTACCACTTGTCATTCGGGAGCGATAAACGAAAATCACACTTAACTCAAAGAAACGACTTAGAGAGTCAGCGCGTTAGCAGTCGAGCACACTTTGGTCCCTACCGCGTAACTATATGTCAACCGGTTTTCCCGGTGCCTTTGGAATGTCACGAATTAGCGACTTCGGCACGTTTCCTCTAAAAAAAACCTTAACCCGATTATTGTATTTGGAGTGAGCTCATATCAGCGCGGTGTGTGCCTCTTTACGTCTTACTGGTGATAGCTTAAGGGGGCTCGGTTCGCATTGACATGTTCGGGCTTTGTTTGCCATATTATATCGCGAGCATGCACCTTCCCACAACATCTTATTTATAACCGGCCTGCAATTCTTACCGAGTTTTACCGAGTTTCTGAATTATTAAAAAATACTATTAACTACTCTAAATATAATTCCGACTAGCCATACTAGCCCACCCTACCTATTACTCATACAGCAACACAAGCCCACTACATGCGCACACTGCTTTTCGCTCATAACACCCACTACTAAACGATTTGCCAACACAGGGCCTGTTGCCAGAAACATCGTAAAGTTAAGGCTAATGTTAAGACTACCTTTGTCTCTGACAACAGTGCCAGCATTTCTAACCGTATGTTTTAACCGGTCGGCGCGCAGTGTCTTGTGTATGACGACGGGTGATTATCGTAATGATAAGATAACGCAAGAAAAGGAAGTTCCTAATGACGTATTATTAAAAATTTCACGTAGCCGACGTCATTCGCCATAGTCTGCCGTAAGTTAGAGTGCTTTTGCGAAATAAAAAGCTGTGACCGTAAACGCAAAGTAGATAAAATAAATTGGAAAGTACGTGCACAAGTTCTTTCATCAACTTGATACTTGATATACAACAAGAAAATTCACGACAGCGTATATAATACACACGTAATTATTAACGTAATATTATACACACGTATGTTTACAACACTGTGACCGAACTTAACGTGACACGTAGCTAGCATATATATATATATATATATATATATATAGTATATATTATATATATATTACATGTGTGAAGCAAGAGGCCTGGACAGCTGCTGCCTCTTTAACTTTTGTTCATAGTAGCGCCCTATATGGAATATTATAATGGCCAACACCAAAACAGCAAGCTAATCCACGTGGGGGTAAGACTCAGTTTGAGCTGTTGCCCCATAGTGAGCGTCATGCTCTTCTTCTTCAACACATGTATATACTATATATATATATATATATGGTGTGTGGTTGTGTGTGACACGTGTTGTGTGGTGTGTGTGCGCGCGTGCGTTACTGCGTGCGCGCGTGTGCAGTGTATGTCTCGTGGAGGTGCCTGTGCGCGGCGCAGCGCGGCGGTGCGTGCGTGCTGCGTGCGTGCGTGGCGTGGGTGTGTGTGATCGCTGTGTGGGTGGGGGGGGCGTGTTGGCGTTGCTGGTGCGCGCCGCACGGTGCGTGCGTGCGTGCGGTGCGTGGTGTTGTGTGTGTGTGGGTGCTATATACGTGTCAGGGTAAGTTCGGCCACAGTACTGTAATACGCCGGGCTTCTATAACAGTCGGCGACTCGCGTAGCAGTCTTACTTAGCGAACGCCTTTTCGATGAGTGCTGCCCAGAACTGATGGCTGCCGTCGCTCTGTATGAACACCAGCTTGTTGTTGACGGTGGGAAGGCGATCGTCGATGACTACCTTCTTCCACGTACCGTGCCACCAAACTCTACGCAGCAAAATAACGCGCGAACATGATTAGAAATATCGGAGACGTATCCGAGAGACGCGGTGGATTTTAAATCGCGAATTCCTAACAAAATACAGAGTATTTCATCTCACGATCGGGAGTATTGCCAACAATTACGTGATCGGAAGAGCCAAGTCAATTACGCTGATTGATTTAGATCGTATTATCGATTACGTACATGTATCGACTATGTCAATGCATCGATTACATGCACCGATTATGTCACACGCAATATCCTTACAGTACAATTCGTTGCGGTGTATTATAACATTGACAACAACATCTGTTGAACACGCGGCACTCAAGGTTTACGGTGTTGTGTCTTTTGTTTCAGTCGTCTTTTGACATTCGCGCTGTCTGTGTGTTTCCAGGCCAGCAGTTAGATGGCTGATGCCTGCTAGAGGCAGCATACAGCTCATAATCGGTAGCAATTAGACTCGTCCGTGAGTTGCTTCCGTGTTGAGCGAGATACAGTGTGCTAAATACAATTAAACCCTTTATATTAAGGGATCAGGGTAAAACTATATTTAGACCTCATTTCGATTCTATTGGGAGTAAATAATAGTAAATAATAATAGATCGTAATTATTGTACTATTTGCTCCTGCTAATGCTGTATTTTTGGGATCACAATATCGAGCCATTATAAACGGGTAAATCACAACTCACTATCTTTGTTTGGCGCTTATTTCAACCGCACAACCTATAATCTTGAACGCGCCGATGTTTATCACAATTCGCTGTGTAGATATTTTCAATCGTAAGCATAATTCGCTTCAGCGTCAATGACATTGAATTGAATGAAAATAAATTACAATTATTGCATTTTACCTGAAGTAAAAGAGTCCGCAGTAGTCGTCGTCAAACGACTGTTCGGACGGTATCACGCGGAAGAACATGGATTTCGTGAGGTAGAGGGACCCGAGACTTGACACCAGCCAACTGTCGCCTGTAGGTCGCCGGTAGAAAGACACGGCTACTGGATGACTGAATCTACGCAGTGCGAGCGCATTGCACGCACACCACGTCATAATAACACAATAACACAGACACACAATAACATAAAATAACATAAATTAAGAGTAAGATAATGAAACATGAAAAGTAGTTCATGACAGACTTAATCAGACATGAATAAGATAAGATAATAAAATAATGATTTGTATAATCCACTTCTGACGTTATACGTACGCTCTTGGTACGATGATTGAGATTGAGGTACGATACTTACTCGACCGCATATATCCGCATAACCTCACAAATTGCATTTTAATACATTGATAGCACGCGTAATCGGACGTACGTGCGTGCGGGTGTGTGTATGTGTGTCTGTGTGGATGCGAATAAGACGGTCAAGTATTGCGCCTGCATTGCGTAGCTAGATAGTTGGCGAGTGTTTCATACCTAACTTCCCCGTGGTGATGTCGCATTGATTCTGTCCATCTAGCAAAAAACATGGCTTGGAAACTAGTTCCTATAATAGAAAATCATGATTGCAGTTAGTGAAGATGGTTATAACTTGCGGTGCATTAAGCATTTCCGTGAATGTTTCATACAGCGCGTAAGCAAGTTGCACAAAATGAGAAGTTACGCGGACATTAAGGACTACTCATCCGTAAGTAGGGACAACTCGGGAATGTATGTGAGAAAACTACACCTTCGACGATTTTACAACACAAACATTTGGCGCAAATGCTGTTTGCTCTAGCGTCGTTTTCGTAAAGCTAACACGGAAATAGCTAACAGCGCTACAGCTGTGTGGAAACATGGCTGAAAAAAGTTAACTGATTACAAATTCCGGGCAGGCGTTATTATATGCCTAGACAGCTCTACAAATTATGTCGTAACAATTATGCGTTTATGGTTATGCTAGGGGCACACGAGCGTATTTTATCGCCCGATCGCGGCGATTAAAATCGCCAGCGAATTTAATCGCCCGATCACGAAGGGGCACACGTAGCGAATTTAATCGCCCGATTTTATACATCCACATGATATCAACAACACGTCCGATTGGTTAGAAAAATCGATCGGGCGACAAAATACGCCGGACACGGGCACACGAGCGAATTTGCCAGCGTAAATAATCGCCGGCGCTAAATAATCGCCCGAAAATATCTAACATTTGGATACGGGCGATTCGTGCGGGCGATTAAAATCGGCGTCGACGTGAACGGGCACACGGGCGAATTTTCGAGCGATTTTAAAATTCGCGGCGATCGGGCGATAAAAATCGCTCGTGTGCCCCTACCTTTATGGTGTAAATGGCATCCGGGGAACGAGTTTGGTTCTGGGAAATTCATTAAAATTCAATATCTACCTTCGGCCTCTTCCACTGAAATTGAAATGCGCGGTGTCTGGTAGTAAAACACCGAGTCCTTGGTGACAGGCGAACTCCGCGGTCTTCATATAAATGTCCGCTGCCGATGCACGCTTGTTTCAGGTCTTCCACGCGTAGTGTCGCAGCCATATCTTAGCGCCGCGACGTGTTCCCCGGCAGGTACGGGGCCGTATACAGTAGAGCTGTTTGCGAGCTCGAGTATGTACGGTGTAGGGAGATATATATACGGAGATATGCGCGGGTCACGTATATCTGCTCGCGGATACCTGGTAAATAACACACCGCGTTATTATTATTATTATTATTATTATTGATGTTGTTGTTGTTGTTGCTATGATGATGATGCTGATTATTATTATTAATATTGTTGTTGTTGTTGTTGTTGTTATTGGTCTCAGCGCGTCCAGCGATCCACACAGCGGTCAGTCGCCGAGTTTCACCGCGCCGTTGATCGCTCTCCGTGGAGATGGGTGTAAGCAGGTTAGGCAAGGCGAAAGAAGTTCACGTCAGCGGCGGTAAACTCATGCCGATAGTCAGAAAACAAGGTCGACCCTGCCGACATCGGCCTGTATTACATTAACTACAAGCTATCTTGCTTATGCGAGACGCACACTGACGCGTCACTCGACCCTTCCAAGGAATGTATGTATATATATATATATATATATATATATATATATATATATATATATATATATATGTTATATGTGTGTGTGTGCCTCGTGTGTGTGTGTCGTGTGTGTGTGTGTGTGTGTGCGTCGCGTGCGTACGTGCGCTTACTACGTGTAAAATCTTTGCGATCGTCAATAGTGCGTTCGTTTCAGTTCGTACAATCGTGCTTACGATAATCTACGCACGAACAGATTCCACGCGAACCTGTTCTCAAAAAGACAACCGCCCTTTTTATTTACACAGTTACGTTTTCTATAATTGGCGCATCATGATCTTCGTAAAATACCTTGCTACATTCACAGCATATTTACCCGTTTCGCGTCTATGGCATGTGCAGCGAGAGTCGGCGACCCATTGATCCTGTTAAGATACAAGTGCGAGTGTGTGTACCATTATCGAAATGTAGTTCTCGCCGGAGTTTGATACGATGGTATATATACTGTCGGGCGAGCTAGAGCAGGTGGCGTATGTAGCAGCGTAGAGTCATGCGTGCACTGCTTCCATCCGTCGTGTGGTTGTCGCTGACCGAAATCACACAAATCCGAATTCACAAGTTGCTGCTACTCCTTAACGTCGGACACGGTCTTGACGTCATCGCACACGTAAATACGTGTATATACGTACGTGCGCGTGCGTGTCTGTAACAGTATGCATACACGAACCGATAAGCGTTTACGCGCGCACACAGTCGCGCACGGACTAGCAGACACTTGTTGCTGTTGTAATGCGGCAACCAGTTTTGCGGACGGCCGTCGTGAGTGGCGGATATACAGCGGCGCTAAATGCTGACGATTTGGCATCGAACCTGTTTCGTTCTGCTCTCTGATTACGCAGGTAACGCATCGTTTTCCGCCCGACCTCAGGCTCGCGATCGCAGACACGCGAACCCCAGCTGTGGTAGGCGAGCCTAGCTGTGGTAAGCGAGCCCAGCTGTGATAGGCGAGCCAAGCTGTGACAGACGAGCCCAGCTGTGGTAGGCGAGCCTGGTTGTGTAGGCAGGCCCAGCTGTGGTAGCGAGCCAAGCTGTGGTAGGCGAGCCAGCTGTGACAGGCGAGCCCAGCTGTGGTAGGCAAGCCTGGTTGTGGTAGGCAAGCTCAGCTGTTTTAGGCGAACCCAGCTGTGGTAGGCGACCTAGCTGTGGTAGGCGAGCCCAGCTGTCGTAGGCGAGCCTAGCTATTGGTAGGCGAACCCAGTTGTGTAGCGAGCCAGCTGTGTAGGCGAGCCCAGCTGTGGTAGGCGAGGCTAGCGCTGTGGTAGGCGAGCCTAGCTGTGGTAGGCGAGCCCAGCTGTGGTAGGCGAGCCTAGCTGTGGTAGGCGAGTCCAGCTGTGATAGGCGAGCCCATTATCATATATATATATATATGTGTGTGTGTGTGTGTGTTGTGTGTGTGTGTGTGTTGTGTGTGTGTGTGTGTGTGTGTGTGTGTGTGTTGTGTGTGTGTGTGTGTGTTGTGTGTGTGTGTGTGTTTGTGTGTGTGTGTGTGTGTGTGCGCGTGTGTGTGTGTGTGTGGCGTGCGTGAAAGAGAGAGTGGGAGGGGGAAATGGAGAGAGAGACATAGAGACACAGAGAGAGAGCAACAGGGAGAGGGAGCGCAGAAGGGAGAGCGGGAAGAGAATGGGGCGACAGGCAGACGATGTGTGCACGTGTGTGCGTGTGTGTAAGAGAGAGAGAGAGAGAAGAGAGAGAGAGAGAGAGAGAGAAAGAGAGCGAGAACGAGAGAGCGCGAGAGAGGTAGAGGAGAAAGAGAGTCATCCAGAGACAAAGAAAGACCGAGCGAGAGAAGGGGAGAGAGGCAGAGTGATTAAGAAAGAAAGAGAGAGAGAGAAAGAGACAGAGAGAGAGAGAGAGAGGGAGAGAGGGAGTCAGTGAAAGCGAAAGGGGGAAGGAGAGCCTGCTCTCAGACCGCTCTGTGACTTACAGCTAACGTCGCTGCCAGGTACATTAATATTGGTGCTGAAGCCCCCCCCCCATACACACTCAAACACACACCCACAGTGACGCAACGCACCACACACACACACACACACACACACACACACACACACACACACCAGACACGCGCGCACACACACACGCACACACACATACACACTTACACACACACTCATACACACACACGCACACACACACACACACACACACCAACCACACACACACACACACACACACACACACACACACACACACACACACACACCACACACGCGCGCACACACACACACGCACACACACACACACAGCACACACACACACACACACACACACACACACCACACACATACACGCACGCACGCACGCACGCATGCCACGGACACACACACACACACACCACACACATACACGCACGCACGCACGCATGCACGGACCACACACACACCACACACACACACACACTTCACACACGCGCGCGCGCGGTGGTGTGCGTCCATGTGGAATGTGGGGTGACGACGTCGACACTAGCGCCGCTCACTCCGCTGCCGCTGCTGCCGCTGCTGCCGCCTGCCCGCCTCTCATACGTTATACGTCTATCAGCGGCGCAGTGTGCGTGCGTGTGCGCGTGTGCGTGCGTGTGCGTGTGCGTGTGTGTGTGTGTCTGTGTGCGTGTGTGTGTGTGCGTGTGTGTGCGTGCGTGTGTGTGTGTGTGTGTGTGTGTGCGTGCGTGTGTGTGTCTGTGTGCGTGTGTGCATGTGAGCGTGTGTGTGCCTGTGTGCGTGCGTGCGTGCGGGCGGGCGTGCGCTCTATTATTTACACACTATAGACTATATACGCTTAATATGTCCAATGCGCGATATATATGTAAGAGGAAAATTTTGGTTGTTTTTCCCGTTTCTCTCATGTCGTTTTTTCGCATTGTGTGTTATATATATAACCCTATATCTACGCGCGTGTACGTGTTTAGACTGACACACTTATCTAAAAATCCAATTCCCGAGAGTAGGTATTCTGTTATTTACACACTATAAGCTTTCCGAACATTGTTTGCATATATATGAGATATATATGTGGAAAGGAAATAACGTTTTGTTAGATTTGTTCGTTTCTCTTCTGCCGTTTTTTTTCTATATTATCTGTTAACCCGTTTTTCTCTAACCATAACAAAAATTTCTTTGAAGCTAACAAAACCCAGTTGGTCACAATATGTATTACTTTATGTAATGACTGAATAATATGAATAGTATCTGTCAGAGTTGAAAAAACCGCCTATTAATTTTGTGAAGTAGAGAATCGTGAGTATGCGTGTACTAACTATCCTCTATTTTAGGGGACGTCAAACTGTTAACGAGCTACTGTTTTAGCACCTATGTAAATCCCCCTCAATTAGTGTCGACGTGGTGTGCCACGAATAGCTTAGCAGCGGTGGTAATCAAGTTAAACACAAAGATTAACGTTTTATAATAAAATTTTAATAGACGGTTGTTACAAACTTTAAATAAGTCTACCCAATGGAATTTCATGAGGGTCAGTAAACTGCGTTGTCAAAACTCGGGCAAAGATTAAATTAAATAAATAACAATAAATTAATTAACACATAAATAGAGCATGAAAGATTTCCACACTTTCTTGGCTGTCCAGACATACAACGAAGTAAGTGTGAAGAATATGTACTGCTAAATCTCCGGCACTGTTCTACTGTACAGTCTACAGCCTCTATATAAAAATAGCGGATTATCGCCTATAAACCAATTCATACCCAACAGTGCAAAAGATTTAATTGTGTCAGGGAGGGTCTGCAATATCAGTACATACTTTCATGCTCTCTACAAAAATTTTGACAGCAGTTATTACATTCCATAGAGTAGAGTTACCCCAAAGTGGTTTTTGAAAATACAGCACACTTCATTAGCTGAAAACTAACAAGTATTCCACAGAAAAAACTACTAACAATCTACAAAACAGTGTCGGGAGTTCCATATTAAACAATGTCTCGATGCAGTTTCATGAACGCCAAAGTTTCAGTCTAATTATGAGTGCCTTCTCAACGTTACATAATACTTTACACGGCACAGGTATACACATTTACACTTAGTAAGGTGACAAGTCGATTTTTTCTCTCTCGCAAGAACAATGAGAATTTCGGGTCACATTACAAACGGGGACGCGCAACATGTTCCTCAGTCCTCCTGCAGGTCATCGTCAGCATAAGTTAGGGTAAAGAAGTACTCGTCACGGTGCTGAAGTGTGTGCACCGTATAGCTGGAGATGAAAGGCTCAGCCTCTTTCTCCTTCGGAGTCTGTACATTGTCTGACATCGCCGGACCGCTCAGACCCTCTGGGTTCTCTGCGAACACGCGGAACGCGTACTCGCGCCGCGCTCGCATCCTCTCGACGGTGTACGTCCTCACGGTCGGCTGCACCTGGTCAACCTTGGTCCACGTTTCCTCTGAGATGTCCCTGTACTCGATGACGTACGAAGTCAGCGGCAGGCCGCCGTCGTGCTGCGGCGGATCCCAATCCAGTCTCGCGCTCTCCGGCGTCACGTCACCGACCCGTAGATTCTCAGGTGGACCTGGTTTTTCTGCAGCGAGAGAAATCGGAATATGATAAAAGCGTATTCGCAGAAATAGTACATGATTGCTACCGTTTAGTATCGATTTATATAAAAGTGATGCATTAAAAGCGACGAACGATTTCGTAGGATGCGCAAACTTTACAAATATTCAATATTTCTGCTCAGTGTAGACTGATTTTTTTAAACTCGAGACAAAGACGTGACATATTTACATACCCACATTTGCTTCAAGCTAATTTTTTTGCCAACAATCTAAGCTTTAGGAATTAACAGTTTGACCCATATTTATATTGTATATTAATTTTATGTATATATGTATCACGTTTATATTGATATTGCAGTTGGAAACACGAAAAGCTATTCGTAAATGCAGAGAAGACAACGTAAAAACAACTCACCATACTTCCGCTTGGGTGTAATCGGGCTCTCTGTTTCAGCAGGTTCACTCTTACCCACTTCATTCTGCGCGAACACACGGAAGTAGTATTCCTCATTTTCTATCAACTTAGTAACAGTGTGGGTCATCGTGAGATGTTCCACAGTTGTGACCTAAGAAGCAAGCAGACAACAAAGCGGTCATTAATACCTTCATTGAGAAACAATTAGAAGGAAAAGAACATTTACTATCTATGCGTATATGAACAAAAGGCACAATGCTTTTATTCATATTAGTAAAAGCATGGTATAAGTACACAATATAAAAATCACTGCTAAATCCAAATAAATGGCTATTCCATACAAAATGCCTTCAACCAAACTGAACCCAATTAAGTTTTGACTACAGAGCTTGAATCTCTTCATTTGTAATCAGAACAAGGGCATCAACGTAACAGCTTTTACGCTCACTAAACCGATTACACGCAGTGCGGTCTACCTTCGTCCACTTCTTCTTAGTTGACACACGCTTCTCAACGATGTAGGTGGTGACTGGCGCACCGCCGTCTGATTCAGGCTCCCGCCAGGTGATGGTGGCTGATGTTTCGAACACCTCAGACACGTGCAAGTCCCGTGGAGGCATCGGCTTAGTTGCCGTTGGCTTCTCTGTACGATGCAGCAAACCAAGACTTACTACTAATGCTTCTAAATTATCACGAATACGTCTGAAAACTATAAACTATGAATTGCGAATGGTAAATGCGAACTACTACTGATTCTTCTGCTAGCGTTCGAGTCAACACGCTTGTACGCGATCTCTCCTGCAGCCAACAAGTGCACTATGTACGTGAAATAACTCGATCTCAGGAAGAAAAACAATTTCGCTAGCCTGTACTATACAGCTTAGATATGAAAGCAACGTCAGTAGTGAGTTTTTCAGAGTAGTTCCCCAGTTTAGTAATTGAGGTATTCTAGCCGGTGAAGGAATGCATGCCAAAAGTTTCACGGGCACTAATACACTCAATGTAATTAAAACATGTATGTATTAGAAAATAATTATACTCAATGTGTTTCACAATCCATGTCACTATAGGTATATAGATTGCCGGCAACAAGTCGAGACCAACCTTCCGGTTTCTTCAGTGTCCTTGCTGGCTCATCCATTTCTAGCGGTTCGCTCGGTCCATACTTGTTCTCAGCAAACACGCGGAAGAAGTACTCGGTATCCTCCGTCAAGGTCTGCACCGTGTAAGTGGTGATCGTATGTGCTATCCTCTCAACCTAGTTTCACAACAGAGAGCATTCACGATTTAGATGATACTACAGTATGGGGTTCCTCTTTACTCTCCCCCCTCACTCTTCTCTTTTATTTCTCTCCCTTTCTCTCTCTCTCACACACTTTTGCTCTTGCTCAAGCTCTTTCTCTTTCGCCTCTCGCTCTTCTTGGCAGGTTCGTCTCATTCGCCTCCATGTTCCCCCTTTTCCTGTCCCCTCATCATCTTCCCATTATCTCATATTTCCTCGGGATTTTGCTAAATTATTTCCCATTAACCACGAGGTTTTTTGTGTGAAATGAGTAGGTGTAAAATCTGTTCTCACCTCACGCCATGTCTTGGTAGTGACTTCACGCATCTCAATGTAGTAGGAGGTGAGCTTTGATCCACCATTGTGAACTGGAGGCTTCCATTCGATGGTGATTGTTGTTCTCTGAATATCTGTGACCCTGATTGGACCTGTCGGTCTGTCTGGTGGCCCTATGAGAAGAAAATAATGCAGTCAGCCACCCCATCATTGAGTCATAAAACATTCATAAATTCATAGTCAAAATTATATATATATTCATGCATTTCGTAAACTAAGCATGACAATTATATATAGGTTCTGAAATAGGTGGTAGCTAAACTTGGCTTACCCATGATCTTGATGTTAAACGTGGCAGTCTCACTGCCATGTTTGTTTGTGGCCACAAGCTTGTAAGTGGCCGAGTCATCCTGTATTGTCTGTTTGAGGGTCACGATAGTGAAGTATTCCTACAGAACAAGCATAGTAGAATTATTATAATAATTTGTTTTCATCCTTCTGCTACTAATAGAGCATAATGCCTCGGCAGTTGCGTAGATTTCGTTTCTGTAACCAGCCTCTCACTCCAAATATATACTTGCTTACAAGTCGAGAGGATTGCATTTAGATCAATGATAAAAACGTCCCATATAGAATATCCTTTTATATACCTGTATAATTTATGCAATTCAATATAATTAGCATTTATTGCATGCAAGAATATACGGCTAAATAATTGCAAACAGGTATAAATGCCCTCTTTCTCCCTTTCTACCCTCGGCCTGTTTCTATAATATATATGAACATTGCCATCTCAACCATTACCTGTACTTCCACGTCAGTCCTATCAGTTGGCTCCAAAGGTTTATCATCCTTGGTCCACTTGAGCACGGGTCGTGGCAATCCCTTATACTTAATAGGAATCTTGAGCGTTGAACCAGTCTTCACCTTTGCATTGCTAAGCTTGTCATCATACTCCAGCGTTGGAGGAGCTGTGAGCAATAACAACAGTGATATTTCAAGGCGACATTCATCGATACATAACTATATTATTACTATATATTGTTACATATATTCATATATCTATCTAAACCTCTCTTCATATAGAATACACACTACTATACATTTTACACTAAATGTGGGACATAAAATGTTTCTAGCATGTATATATTAACTAATTAGTCAGCAAATCGCAATCATGTAGTAATTGTTGTCTGGTTAAAGCTGTGCAGACGTCGCTGCTGCAGAGAGAAGTCGATGAAGATGAGGGTAACAGACAGGGATGCTGCACCCAGAGGAGATTTGCTGCCTACCTTCGACGGTTAGCTTGGACGTTGTCTTTACTGTACCCTCATCGTTACTGACGATGCAAGTGTATTCGGCCGTGTCATCCAGGTAAGCGACTAGAATCGTCAGAGTGGAAGTCTGGTTCTCGTACGTGGTCGTGTACTTCTTGCTTTCGAGCACCTCCTCATCATAGCGGAACCTTGCACATGGTAAAGAGCACACAGTAAGAGTCAGCAATTTCAAATAATTACGACAGTATAGCAAAAAACCACAACAATCGCATGGTGTTGCCAAGTAGTTTTAGCGAAACCTTGCACACGGTAAAGGGCACACGGTAAGTGTCAGCAATTTCAATAGTAAGTGTGATTTCAGTGAGTGATTAAAGTATAGCAAACGAAAAATACAACAATCACAATGTGATAACAGTTAACAGGTGTACGTACCACTTGATTGTCGGCTCTGGTACACCTGTGACTCTACACGTGTATTTCACAGGTGAGCCGGATAATACTGTAATGTCAGGTATGTCTTCCACGGTGGGAGCTTCCTTAACTAGAAACAGACAAGCACACATTATCGACAATGACATGTAAAGTTACAAAGGCTGTCAGTATTTGAACATGTACGTGTATAAGTACAGTTGCCTTTTTGCACGCTCCTTGGTAATCTAATGCATCTAATGCACGAACGATGATAATGTGATAAACCGACTACAATATCTTACCGATTGGTTTCTTCGGTTTGACGGGCTCACTCGGAGGTGAGGGTTCACCAGGCCCTGCGACATTCTCGGCTGTGACCCTGAATACATACTCCTGACCCTCGGTCAGGTTTGTCACTGGGAATGTCAGTTCCGCCACAGGTTCGTCGGGGTTGGCTCTCGTCCAGCCGAACACGTCAGCCAGGCGATACTCGACGATGTAGTTTGAGATGGGAGCACCTCCGTCCTTAGTCGGTGGCTTCCACGTCAACGTGACACTGGTGTCGGTGATGTCCAAACAATCAGGCTTGCCGGGTGGCCCTGGTGGTTCTACGCAAAGGTTTCAAAGTCAGACATGAATTTTGTGATGAGAAATTGTAATAAAATGTTGTTGTGTTTTGCTTCTGCAGCAGCGCATACGAATTTAGAATGCATCAACGTTAAAACATGAATGAATGATTTTTAACATAACATAATGTTTAAAAACATGTTTAACATAATATAATTATGAACATAATATAATGTTTAAATAACATGTTTAACTTACTGTAAGGATCTGTTGCCTTAACCGGTTTTGTGGGCTCACTGGGCTTGCCTGGGCCAACCTTGTTTTCTGCTATCACACGGAACTCATATTCGTGATCTTGTATGAGGTCTGTCACCTTCAATGTCGGCTCTTTTACAGGCTCCTTGTTTACCTGTAAAGCAAGTGGGTATCCTGTGTTAATAATGAGCATTATAGAAACGTGATCATCACTGTAATGTCGGAACAAATGCGCAATCTCATTCTTAACAGATGTGAAGGCGATCTTGCCTTTGTCCATTTAGGCTTGTCTGGTTGCTTCTTTTCAACGGTGTAGCCAGTGACTGGGCTACCACCATCGTCCTTCGGTGGTTTCCATGATAACACAACCGTTGCCCTGGTGATATCACTCACGTCTGGCTTCGTTGGAGGTCCAGGAACATCTAAGAAAAAAAGAGAGCATGACGAGAATGAGCGTGCGGAAAACTAACAATGCCTTTCACAATTGCTAACAGGAAACTCAGGTTTAGCGTAGAAGGAGAACTATGCCTAATCTAACGTTAAACCGAAACGCAAAACCAGGACTTTCACTCACCAGCAACCGTCACATTGATTGTAACGGTCGTTTTTCCATGTGGATTCTCCAGTTTCAGTGTGTACGGGCCAGAGTCGGGCTTGTCTACATTTGGAATGCTAAGAGTGGTCGTGGAATCAGTGTTATCCTCCTTCGGGTTACGTGACTCTGGTATGGGCTTCTTCTTGAAGGTCCAGGTGGGTTTCGGATGTGGCCAGCCCACGAATCTCACTACCAACGTCATCGTTGTGCTCTTGTTGATGATTAATGTAGTTTTATACCTATCATCAATGGTGTACTTTGGTGGCACTGTAAATAGTAAAATAAAACTGAGTATGTATTACCACTTAAAAATATCATTCGTTCTGCTATACTATATATATATATATATATATATATATATATATATATTTGGCACGATCTGTAGCCAATGAAATAACTTTTCAATTTCATTCATCTATAGCTTACGGATGCTTAATGAATCTGGGGTGTTTGTGACAAAATTGGGAAGTATTTACCTTTGACAAATAAGGTAGCTGTTGCCTTCTTATCCTTGGCAATGACAGTGTAATCGCCCTCATCTGGTCCTGTAATATCCATGATGTCCAGTAGATGAATTGGACCATCATCAATGAACTGGAACTTGTCACCTGAAATAAACAGCACATAGGTGAATGTTTGTTGAGATTCTAAATTGTTTCTTCTTTCTGTTATACTTCTATAGAAAGCGTTTCATTATGGCAGAATAACTAATAATAGTATAATAGCCTGTAATTGCAGCCACTACAACAGTGTGACGTAGTCAACGTAGTACGGTGGCCGTAGTTCTGGCTGACGAAGCATACTTAATAATGATTTTTTCAAGTTCGATTCTTATTCGATTTCTTATTTAATCTTATATTGTCTTACCAGGGTGTATGGGTTTTCCATCTTTCTCCCATGTAATGGGAACATCTTTCGACAACTCACACTCAAAGGTGGTAGTTTCAGGGAGGTCTGTCACTGTGATATCCTCGGGTGTATTAAGGAATGTCAGTGGCTCCTCTGTAAAATGGTATTACACGTAATGTAAACATAACGAGCTAATGTTAATTGATAAATTACAAGCAGATTTGGAACAACATGGCTCTCTATGATGTGCAAACAATCTGTATTCTGGGAGATGATTATGTTTAGTGACGCTCTTATATATATGTGATATACATCAATCATTGGTGAGATAATAAAGTAAGAAATGAAGACCACTAAACTCAGCTTTATTTCTTTCTTGCTCTCCCCCACCCACCCGCTCGTCCCCGCCTCTCGTTCTCCGTCTAGTTCTCTCTAACACTCACACACACTCTCCCTCTCTCTTTCTCTGTGAATTTCTCTCTGCCACTCTCACACGCTCTCTTTCCCCCGTCCCTCTCCGTCTCTCTCTCTCTCTCTCTCTCTGTCCCTCTCTCTCCGTCTCTCTCTCCTCCTCTCTCTCTCCGTCCCTCTCACTCTCTCTCCGTCTCTCTCTCTCTCTCTCTCCGTCCCTCTCACTCTCTCTCCGTCCCTCTCTCTCCGTCTCTCCCGCTCTCTCTCTCTCTCTCCATCACTCTCACTCGCTCTCACGCGCTCTCTCTCTCTCCGTCTCTCTCTCTCCGTCTCTCTCTCCTCTCTCTCTCTACTCCTCTGTCTCTCTCTCTGCTCTCTACTCTCTCTCTGCTCTCATCTCCGTCTCTGCTCTCTCTGGCCCCACTGCTCGCATCTCTCTCTCTCTCTCTCTCTCTCTCTCTCTCTCTCTCTCTCTCCCTCTCTCCGTCTCTCTCTCCGTCTCTCTCCCTCTCTCCCTCTCGCCGTCTCTCTCTCCGTCTCTCTCTCTCCCCCTCTCTCTCTCCGTCTCTCTCACTCACCTTCAACAAACAGGTTAGCCGTTGTGCGTGCTGGCTCACAGACGCAGGTGTACGGCTTCTCATCATCCATCTCCACACTGCTAATGACCAGCTTCCTGACTGGACCGTCACTGACGAACTTGATTCGCTCTGTCGGCGTGATCTCCTTGTCGGAGCGGAACCACTTGACCGGTTTCTTTGGCGAGGACAGTGTACACTCAAAGGTGACGGTCTTGTTCTCCTGCACCGTCTTGTCACTCAGAGGTTTCAGGAACTCAGGAGCAGATTCTACAAAGATAACAAACAAATATGATGAACTTTGTCGTATACGATTTAACATTTAACTTGCTTTTAAATTGATGCTATTTTGGTTCATTCGTTTCGCAATTAGAATGTACAAGGCATAACGGATGTTAAAGTTTCAACGAATTTCATAAGTCAGATGGTAATTAGCAAAAATGTGATGTAAACGCCTGAATATCTATGATATTCAATGTATAAAAACTCCTTGCCTATATCTGTGAATGCTCTGACAATTCTTTCCACGACATTTTGGCAAGTTAACAAAGGTGATAGCAACATCATTAATAAGCTGTATCACATTTAACATTATAAGGCTTATTGCCTTTTTAACTGGCATTAATAAAAATCTACATTGAATTTTCTGAATAACGTTCCACACTCAAGTCCAGGGTTTGTACTCGATTACTAATCAATGGGGCTGAAAAATGTGTTAACTAACATGTACCTTGCCATTAAGTGCAGAAACAGTAATTACTTACCGATGACAGTCAGCTTAGATGTCGTCTCATCGTGCTTGGTAGTGCAAGTGTAGGTGCCCTGATCATCTAGTTTGACATTTTTAATTGTCAAAACACGCTCCGGACCCTTCTCAGTAATCTCGTGCCGGTCGTCAGGCTTGATGGGCTTCTTCTTTCTAAGCCATGTTACCTTTATGGTCGTCTTGGATACGGTACACTTGAACGTGGCGGTCTGTTTTTCAGTGACCTCAACATCGGTCAGTGGCTTGACAAACTTCTCTGGAAGTTCTACAAAGAGTGCAACAAACTAATGCAGTTTCTGTACGGGGAGTTTAATTTACGAACAAAAATAAATTAACTGCTGTGGAAAATATCTATATCTAAAATACTCTCAGATCTCAAATATCTCAGATACTAATGCAATATCTATTCTCAATACTGTTTTTGTTATTGTGCTTTCATTACTCGACATGTCACTCACGTTACGTCAAATGGATATACACACATGCATACATTGCTTCAAAAAATTCTAGTGCATATAAACGAATTCAGCAATGATAAATGGTTTTTTCAGCTGTATACCTTTGACGATGAGTTTAGCTGTCGTCTTCTCATCTGTGACCTTGCAAGTGATATCCGAGGTGTCCTCTGGTTTCACATTATGCAGCACGAGACGCTTCACTGGACCTTCTGAGATAGGCTCATGGTTCTGATCAGGCTGGATCTCTTTGGTGTTCTTAAACCACGTAACTGGCTTGTCCTTGTTGAGTACCGTCTCAAACGTCACAGTCTCATTCTCAGGAACCTCTTTATCTTCCAGTGGCTTAATGAACTTGACTGGAAACTCTGTAAATGATAAAGCTAGGTTAATAAACCACAGAGTTGCTTACAAGTTGGTCTTTGGTTATGTAGCTCTTTTTGATTGAAGGAATCCCTGAACAGACACCATTACACAGCTTATCATTTTCATCAAGACGTATAGCAGTTTTTGTAGTCTGTGAAAGTTATTGTACGTTTATCGTTTAAAAAAAAGGAATGAAAACTTTTATTACCTTTCACATTTACTTGACATGTAGACTTCTTGTTGCCCACAACAACAGTGTAAACACCCGTATCCCTGATAGTAGTTTCCTTAATCACCAGCTTGAAGGTCGTTTCTTCGATGATGACCTCATAACGCTCATCGCGTATGATCTCCACTCCATCCTTGAGCCACGTTACATCGACAACCTTCCTAGTCAGCTTAATGATCAATGTCAGAGGCTCTTCCTCTTCTACGTTGGTGTCCTTCAGTTGGATCGTGAAGTCTGCCTCAATTTCTGTGTGTAAACATCAAGTGTAATATGTATTGTTCTGACTGTATTGTAAGGTAACAAACAAGCTGAAATATATAATTATCAAGGAGTAAATAATAAGTTATTACTTGCTCCCATTATTTTACTCGTGATGTTATTATTTATCAACAGCTTTACTTATGATAAATATCTGCCTGTGCTACAGAATACGCAGACACAGCAGTGGTGGAAATTATAGTGCAAATAATGTATACATAATACCTACATTAAATTATATGAGTAACATGACGACAATAAATTTATTTGAAGTAAATATTAGCAGACAGTTTCAGTTATCTCGTGTTTTACCTTCTACAACCACTTCGGCTGAAGACTTGACCGTGCCGACCGTAACCGTGTAAACAGCCTCATCATCTGGTCCAGCATCCTTAATGATCAGCGTCAATTTATTGTTGTCTTCCCGGATAATATACTTAGTACCTGGTTCAATGGGTTTTCCTGCAAGAACATTTTAGTAACAGCTAGAATAATAATAGTAATATATATACCTTCTGAGATAGTCACAACGAAAGCACAGCAATGAGGTTGGATGACACTAATAACCTAATATTATGTATGTATGTAGGGGGGCCTATGTATGTAGGTATGTATGTATATGTATGTATCCAACAAAATGTCATTTCTTAAGGTAATTATGCAGCAAACATGCAGTAATAAATCTTCCATAATTATAAGTGTTACCGTTCTTCAGCCATGTCACAGGTAAAGTCTTGGTGACGTTGGCTTCGAGCGTGACATCATTGTGCTCCTTCACTGTCTTGTCCTTTAGTGGAACTGTGAACTCAGCTTCCACTTCTGTAGAACCAAATATCAAACCATCATATATATATATATATATATATAGTCATCACCTAATCTAAAGTTTTCTGTGTTATGGCAGTCATTATAAGCATCTAATGACGAACACGCATTTTCAGGTCAGTTTAATAAGCGGGATCCTGCCCACGGCGGAATTGTGAAGATGAATCTGAGCGACGTAAGTGCAAGTGACATCAGCTCTCGTCGCACATATGGCACAAGGAGCTGCGTGCCACAATTAATTAGCGACTATACTGGAAAACCTTGGTTCACTATTAGCTGCCAATTAAAATTTTTCTCGACTTTCCCTAGTGGATATGCGCTGCAGGTATTTCTCACCTATAAGACCATGGGTCGAAAATCGACCATATATAAGAAATGCATTTATTGTTCAACAATGATGTTGATGTGATCTATCATTCCAGAGAGATTGCCACGTAGTTCTAGCCAATTAGTGTTGGAGGTGATAGGACCATAAATCACTACTTATTAACGAGGAGCAGCAAATTTGACAATTTGGCGTGTATGCATGAAAAACATGTATAATTTGCTCGAGCTTGACCAACCTAGCAATAACATCCAATGGGGCATGGTTATTACACTCAGCCGGAGGTCAACTCATAAAAGGATGGACGTACAGAAGTCTCTCAGCTTTACATACCTTCTACAGTCAGTTCAGCACTCGTTTTCTTATTGGGCAAGATGCAAGTATAAACAGCACTGTCATCTGGTTGTGCGTCCTTGATGATCAGCTTGTGAACCACACCGTCGTCAACAATCTAAAGCAGGACAGCAAGACATTAGAGTGTTGTGATATATAAACTGCTTATTGTCGTCATCCTATCACTATGCGTACATTAGTCGTGATGCAATATCGACATTTAATGGCCAATGCAGTCTTACTACGTACGTGCCAGTGCTAACATATGAGCAGTTTTCAGTAGTAACGTCATCGCTATATCATATGTGCCTGCATTTCATAGGTCGCAAAGATATTAAAAATTGCTTACCTGGTATCTGGCATCTTCTGGCAGCGGTTGGCCGTTCTTCAGCCACTTGACAGGGATGTTCTTGGTTACACTCGCTTCAAACACGACCGGCTGCTTTTCCTTGACCTTCTGATCCTTTGGATGTACGGTGAACTCGGCTTCTTTTTCTACGGGGTGAATGGTGAAAGTTTGTTTGCATACGAAAACCACTAGAACCAAGGGGTATCACTCCACTGTGGTAATCACGCCCACATTTTGATCCCTATTTTTCTTGTCGACAATAGCATTATTTACGGTTACAAAAAGTTTCTACAAACTTACCATCGACAGTCAGGTCAGCACTGCTTGGCTTGCCCTTGATCATGACTGTATATGTACCAGCATCCTCTAGAGTTGTCTTTTTCACTTTCAGTATGTAAGTGTTCTTCACCTGTGTGATGCTATAGCGGGATTCGTCCACTGGCAGAGGCTTACCGTCTTTCATCCAGACAATGTCTTCAGGTTTCACTGGTTTTGTAAGCTGCAAAGTGACGTAAATAGATTAGTCTAATGACACAGTAACCGTTTTGTCACATGCCAATGTGTAATACTGTACAATATAATATGTACAATATTGAGGAATAATTTATTCATGTAATTGGCTATCACAAAAAATAAATTCAAATAAATACCATTCACACGTTTTAATATACGAAGTTGCATATAGTGTCACGCAAAAAATCCTATTTTTATACCTGGCACGTGAATGCAGCATCCTCATCCTCTGTTGTAGTTTTTGGCTTTAGTTTGACCACAAACTCAGCATCGGCCTCTGCAATAATTAACAGAGATCATGAGAATATGCTTAGAGACTAAACTAGTAAGCTATACACAGACGAAAATACTCTATTTATCAGCATTATTAAATGTCACGATAAAATTGCTTTCTAAATGGAATAATACCCCACTCACCATCGACAACTACATTCGACGTTGTTGTCTTCTTGCCTACCACACACGTATATTCAGCTGTATCAGAGGGTCTAGCATCCTTCAGGACAAATTTATGGACAGTTCCTTCAGACACCATCTGAATTCTGTCCGTCTGTTTGATACGTTTGCCATTCTTCAGCCACTTC